TGCCTTGAGCCGTGACGTCGGTCCACGTGTATTCCTATGTTCAAAACACGCGGCACCGCCCCCACTCACCACACGGCACGGAAGGCGGGCCCACTGGATTTGAAGCCACTGCAGTGGGCGTGGTTTCTATATATTTAGCTTTACACTTGGCGACACATTTAGATTTAACATTTAGATTTAACATTTAGATATAGATATAACATTTAGATATAGATATAATATTTAGATATAACATTTAACATTTAGATATAGATATAACATTTAGATATAGATATAACATTTAGATATAGATATAACATTTAGATTTAACATTTAGATTTAACATTTAGATTTAACATTTAGATTTAACATTTAGATTTAACATTTAGATTTAACATTTAGATATAGATATAACATTTAGATATAGATATAATATTTAGATATAACATTTAACATTTAGATATAGATATAATATTTAGATATAGATATGTCTTAAATGTGAGGAAAATGTGCTAAATGTGAGGAAAGTGAGCTAAATGTAGAAAAATGTTCAGCTAAAAAATTTTAACAGAATTTTTACAAACGGCACCCCATACAATAAACCCACAGTTCTCTACGTGAACAATGCTGCCCAAGATAAAATTCTCTGCACTGTACAAGTGGCGGTGGATGGACATTATAAGGACATTGAGCTGATTGTAGATACAGGATCCTCTGTTTCTATTATTCCTATGAGCACTTGCCACACTTTATTTCCAAAATGTGTGCTTACTGAACCTACATTTGCACTTGTGCTAAAGAGAAAATAACTGTAAAAGGGTGCTTAAAAGCAACTGATGGTCATTCTACTGTGGGGACTTTAGTTGTGGTTGAGTCAGGTGCAGCTTTACTTGGCTTAGACTTATTTGAGGCCTTACAAATGAAACTACAAGGTAGGGAAGTGGTGGCTACTGTCCCTTCTTACCAGTCACAAAAGTCTACTACTGCTTCTGTGTCAAACACTGAACCAGATTATACTGAAGTTCTAGTTCAGGAAATAGGTTGTGCTAGAAATGTTGTAGACAAGCTGTTACAGAGGAAATTAAAGATCTCCAAGACAAGGCGGATTGATGCTTCCCCCTGGGTCTCTCCTGTAGTAGTTACACAGAGGAAGGATAGTGGGAAACCTCGTATGTGTGTGGATCTGAGAGACACAAACAAGGCTATTGTTGCAGACTGCTACCCCTTACCACACATGGATGAACTCTTCTCAAACCTTTCTCCACCATTGACTTAGCCTCTGCTTACCACCAAATGCCACTGCATCCTGAGAGTCGTGATATTACTGCATTTGTCACTCATGAAGGACTTTTCCGTTTTTGCAGAGTACCGTTTGGCCTAGCTTCAGCGCCTTCTGCCTTTCAAAAGATGATGTCAATCGTTCTTTCGGGACTTCCAGGTGTACAGGCGTACCTGGATGACATTATATGCTATGGTGTAACACAAGAAGAGCATTATGACAATTTACGCAGAGTGTTACAGTGTTACATTGCGAAAGTATTCGGCCATTCTTGAACCTTTCAACATTTCGCCACATTTCAGGCTTCAAACATAAAGATATAAAATTTAAATGTTTTGTCATGAATCAACAACAAGTGGGACACAATCGTGAAGTGGAACGAAATTTATTGTATAATTTAAACTTTTTTAACAAATAAAAAACTGAAAATTGGGGCGTGCAATATTATTCGGCCCCTTCACTTTCAGTGCAGCAAACTCACTCCAGAAGTTCAGTGAGGATCTTTGGTTGAACTTGACCCAATGCTGTCCTAAATGACTGATGATGATAAATAGAATGCACCTGTGTGTAATCAAGTCTCCGTATAAATGCACCTGCTCTTTGATAGTCTCAGGGTTCTGTTTAAAGCGCAGAGAGAACCATGAAGACAAAGGAACACACCAGGCAGGTCCGAGATACTGTTGTGGAGAAGTTTAAAGCCGGATTTGGATACAAAAAGATTTCCCAAGCTTTAAACATCTCAAGGAGCACTGTGCAAGCAATTATATTGAAATGGAAGGAGTATCACACCACTGCAAATCTACCAAGACCCGGCCGTCCCTCCAAACTTTCATCTCAAACAAGGAGAAGACTGATCAGAGATGCAGCCAAGAGGCCCATGATCACTCTGGATGAACTGCAGATAACTACAGCTGAGCTGGGAGAGTCTGTCCATAGGACAACAATCAGCCGTGCACTGCACAAATCTGGCCGTTATGAAAGAGTGGCAAGAAGAAAGCCATAAAAAGTCTCGTTTAAAGTTTGCCACAAGCCACCTGGGAGACACACCAAACATGTGGAAGAAGGTGCTCTGGTCAGATGAAACCAAAATCGAACTTTTTGGCCACAATGCAAAACGATATGTTTGGCGTAAAAGCAACACAGCTCATCACCCTGAACACACCATCCCCACTGTCAAACATGGTGGTGGCAGCATCATGGTTTGGGCCTGCTTTTCTTCAGCAGGGACAGGGAAGATGGCTAAAATTGATGGGAAGATGGATGGAGCCAAATACAGGACCATTCTGGAAGAAAACCTGTTGGAGTCTGCAAAAGACCTGAGACTGGGACGGAGATTTATCTTCCAACAGGACAATGATCCAAAACATAAAGCCAAATCTACAATGGAATGGTTCACAAATAGACGTATCCAGGTGTTAGAATGGCCAAGTCAAAGTCCAGACCTGAATCCAATCGAGAATCTGTGGAAAGAGCTGAAGACTGCTGTTCACAAACGCTCTCCATCCAACCTCACTGAGCTCGAGCTGTTTTGCAAGGAAGGATGGGCAAGAATTCCAGTCTCTCGATGTGCAAAACTGATAGAGACATACCCCAAGCGACTGGCAGCTGTAATTGCAGCAAAAGTTGGCGCTACAAAGTATTAGCGCAAGGGGGCCGAATAATATTGCATGCCCCACTTTTCAGTTTTTTATTTGTTAAAAAAGTTTCAATTATCCAATAAATTCCGTTCCACTTCACGATTGTGTCCCACTTGTTGATTCTTGATAAAAAATTAAATTTTTATATCTTTATGTTTGAAGCCTGAAATGTGGCGAAATGTTGAAAGGTTCAATACTTTCGCAAGGCACTGTACATGCCTTGACGAACTAAACATGCACAAATGCAAGTTTAACCAGTCATCGCTAAACTATTTGGGACATACTATTTCAAAACATGGACTTAACCCTGACCAGGAAAGACTTAAAGCAGTTACAAATGTTCCTGCACCCCATGATACTACGTCGCTGAGGTCATTCCTAGGTCTTGCCTCCTGGTATGGTAAATTCATTCAAGATTTTGCTACAGTTGCTGAGCCACTACGTGCAGTGCTCAGGGAGTCCACTGATTTGAACTTCAGGTGGTCATTTGAAGCCGAAGCTAGTTTCACTGCTCTAAAAAAGCTAATAGTTAACAGTCCTGCGCTAGCTTTGTACGACCCCGAATTGCCAACCTATGTTACTACAGATGCTTCTAACTATGGACTGGGTGCGGTACTGACACAAATGCATGCAGGTGAAAATTAGAGAGTTGTGGCTTTTGCATCCCGAACGCTCTCCCCTGCAGAACGCAAATACTCTACTGTGGAACGAGAAGCACTTGCTTGTGTGTGGGCTGTGGAAAGGTGGAGAACCTACCTTTGGGGACACCGTTTTTTTCTACGCACGAACCACCAGGCTCTTACAACCCTGCTTACCTCAAAGGGAGCCGGACGTGCTGCCTCTACCGTCACAACAGATGTTATTCTTAGTTTTTTAGCCACAGTATTCAGTAGAGAGGGTAATCCACGTCTAGTCTCAGATAACGGGTGCCAGTTTACTTCACATGCATTTGCAAGTTTTCTGAGAGAGAGATACAGCACCTGAGATCTAGTGTGTATTATCCAAAAGCAAATGGTGCTGTTGAGAGATTTAATCGAGTACTGAAAGAATGCATACAGACAACAGAAAGAAGCCGTAGACCTTGGAAAGAAGCAGTTACTGAGTTTCTGCATAACTATAGAGCTGCTCCGCATGCAACTACTGGTGCAACTCCATTTGAGCTTCTCCGTAACAGGAAAATGCGCACCAAACTAGACATTCTGCCAGTTGCAAATAAAAGCAAAACTCAGGCACAAATCCAAGAAACAGCGGAAAGAAAACAAAACAGAATGAAAGAATACACAGATATGAGAAGGGGAGCAAAAATACCTACCTTCAAAGTGAATGACACTGTACGTGTTCGTAGACCAGAGCATGTTCCTAAAGGATCATCCAAATACACAGAACCACGGACTGTAATGAGGAAAGTCGGACAAAATACTTACCTCCTGAGTGATGGGCGCAAGTGGAATGCTTCTAAACTTGCTCACTTCCCAAAACAAGTGTTAACATCCATTGAACATGAACAAAATAATGTACTTGATTCTTTTGCAATGCCTGAAAATCAAAACTTACCTAATCCATCACTTAGACGTAGCCAGCGGTCGAGAAACCCTCGTAGATGGTTGACAGGTTTTGTGAGAAGATGAAAGTCGGGAATCGCTCATTACGATGTAAAATAGTATTACAGTTCTAAATACTATTGTTTTTTGTTTTATTACAACTGATGTAAATTCAGTTAGAAATACATCTTACCGTTGGTAATATACTTTTATTTTGCTGTTTGCATACAGTACCAATGTTCCATTTGTAATAAGCAAATGTGAGGTAATACTGACGGTTGAGATTTTGAATGCTGAAAGAGAAGTAAAGGACGAACTGAAGCAACTAGCTGTTACACGTCTCTGCCTGGTTAATTTATTTTCAATACTACAATACCACAGACTTCGTGTAAGAAGCCTGTAAAAGTGAACTGCAGTGTGTTCTCCGGCCGCGAAAGGCAGCAATGCGCTGAGAGGCGCCCAGTCTGCCGGAAATAAGAAGAAGAAGAAGAAGACTGCAGAGCGCTTGTGTGAAAGATCGCCTCGTGAAGTGCAAACAAACCGGAATAAATCTGCTCCTTCAACATGTTTTTGGCCTCTGCTCTCCGGTCCATCGTGTCACAAACGGTATAACTATCATATTTTTTCATTAATTTTAGTAACTGCTAATTGATGAAGTTCACAGTTTAAAAAAAAATGCCATGACTTCTCACAAGGACAAGCAACAGAGACAGCTAAGCTAGCATTGAGTAACTTAGCTTTAGCCTAAAGCTGTCAAAAACATAACCAGACTGGATATTTAATCGTGATAAATTGCATTACCTGATAAAAAATATGGAATTGTCAACTCAATAATTGTGTAACACATTTTTCAATGGCGTCTTGTACGTATTATAAAATGGTAGTTTAGGTTATTTGGGAAGCACAGTTCATACTCATGGAAACTCAAAATGCTTAAAAAAAGAAGATACGATTATAAATAAGATGCTTCAGTTGTATTCACATCTAAACAGAACGGTTTTAAATCATTTTCAAGATTGTAGCAGCATAAATATGAAACGTTGCCTCCCTATGTTTTAGTCGTGACTCTGCATCATCAGGAGGCCAGTCCCTGTGCTCCTCAGAGCCCCAGCAGAAGGCCAGTCCCTGTGCTCCTTAGAGTCCCAGGGCTGCTTTAAACTACTCTCTTCAGTGCCTGTGCAGAAACATTAGAACGGAACTAATGTTCCTTCCTACTTTAGTCTGGACTCGAGTGTTATGAATATATGTTTTTGTTATTTGCTGTTTGATTATTCAACCAGTTATGTTAATATTTTACTTTTATTATTCTCTATTTTTGTTTCATTGATATGAAACTCTTACCTCTACTGTTTTTGCCTTCAGGCCAGACAGGTGAAAGGTCTGCATCGGTCGGCTGTAAGAGCTGGAGCTGGTGGCATCTTTGTGGTGAGGTTTTTATCTATGGTTGATTGTTCGTTTAAGGGAACATTAGGCCTTTGCACACATGTTTTTAAACACTAGCACTACATTTCATTAACACTTTGTAAATCTCAAGACACCTTTTTATTTTTTCTGCCCGTAGCACATGTTTTTGTTCTATTTAAAGCTACTGTTTGCCTGGCGGTTTTCATGTTATGGAAATACACCATGGTTTCGCAATCCCAAGGCAATTCACCCTTACACCTGTTATTGGTTACAAACCAGCTCATGTTCTTCATTTTGTTGGTATTTAATTTCAATATTAAGTTGGCTCAGTAAAGAACGAAAAACTATTCTGTCAAAGTTGTCATTAAAACACAGTACACTAGAGGGCAGTGTTGTTACACAAATATTTGTGTCTTAACGTGTGAAAATCACTATCTGCTGTTTTATTTTTTTCTGTTCATTCAGCACAGAGACACGCCTGACAATAACTCTGAAACCCCATTCGAATTCACTGAGGAGAACAAAAAGGTTATAAGGAAATATAGCTGTATCATACATTTCTTTATAATACTATCCAACAAATTCACCTGTGCATTTTCTTTTGCAGAGAATTGAGGCAATTATTTCAAACTACCCGCATGGACACAAGCAGGCAGCTACCATCCCAGTGCTGGATGTTGCTCAGAGACAACATGGGTGGCTCCCAATCTCAGCTATGAACAAGGTAATGACATGGATATAATTTTTATGTTTGGAAATTATTTTTTGTTAATGATTAAAAGTATGAAAATAAATAGAATCGTGTTTTTTGTTTTTAAAGTTTTTTTTTGCATCAGCTCCTGGACAAAAATCTGTTTATCCATCCATCCATCCATTTTCTTCCCTTTAATCCATTTCTGGGTCAGGGGGGTGGCAGTCAGAGATGCCACCCAAGTCACAGAGCACCAGCCCCTCACTGACCCTCTGCAGGTGGTGAGTCCACAGGAGGACGGCTGCTCTCTGAGTGTGAGCATAGCCTTGATCTTTCAGTGGGGGCTTTGGGCAAAGTGGGGTTAAGTGTCTTGCCCAAGGACACAACGACAGCAGTCATCAGTGGGAGTCGGTGGAGAAGGTGTGGAGGTGGGAATTGAACCCACGACCTTCTGGGCTTAAGGCCAATGCTCTACCAACTGAGCTACTGTCGCCCCAAAAAAAAAAATCTGTTTACATTTGTGTAATTTAATATTTCAATTATTGATTAATTGTGATTTATTGCAATTTACTTGTTATAGCCCGAGTATGAATTTGGACTAGTTGTTTTCTGCTAATGTGTGGAAAAAAACATGGCATCCATATCTAACTTTCTTTCGCTTTATCCGTTGCCAGTATTCTGTCGAGATGGTCTGCCCGCATACAGCATTTTACTGACATATGCACTTCCTGTGGCTAACTCGACATCCGCTTGTCCGTCGGTTAATGATAGAAATAATACATGGTGTCTATGTAGTGTACTGTATCAGCATTGATAGTCAATAGTGTGTTCAAACGAAATATTCTATTAGATTAGTTTTTAACGTCTGTTGGGTTTCTGTTCATCTGCAAGAGACATCTGTTTTCACTGAAGTTGGAAACTCTAGTGACTATGTCTCTCTGTTACTAAGGATTATTTAAATGTCAGTGAGTCATTCTATGCTTCGACAGGGACTTGGATATATCTTAACTGCAAGGGAAAAAATACTAAAACGCTGCACCCGATAGACCAAAATACTGTGTAACGCTACCAACAATAATACTGTTCTTCTTTGCAATAAATCTTTAACATGCAATGGTTTTCCTGTACATAAAAAAGATGCAAAGTAGCCTGGCCTTAGCCATCCGTACACTTCGTTCAATCATCATTTCACTGCATGTAACGTCTGGGTCTGGTCCCCATGTTAGCGATTACAATCGGTTGAATTTCCACCGACCATTCAGAGAGCGAGGAAGGCAGGTATTGTAGTTAGTTGTGGGTGATGTCAAGAGTTTGCGTCGAACGGGAAGGTCGTGGTATGGCAATGGCAAAAAATGCGATAGTAAAGTAATCCGGTCTGGTTCTATCAAGAAATTGAAGCCGGAGCAAGAGAAATGTTTAGCAAATGTAATCGCTGGAAAAATTGTGGTGCTACTCCCCAGGGCTCAGTTAGCGGCAAAAGAGATGGCTAGGCTAAATGCTAATGAATCACTCAGGCGCATTATATAAGTGATGTAAACTCCGATCCAATCGTTTTAATCTGCAAAAGGAGTTAACCCCTCCCACCTTTAAACGGAGCTCAATGGAGCGCCTCCAGACCTTAGTACGTAATGTAATTTGTACTATGATGTGGTACAACCAGGCTAGAGTCAAAGTGTAGTGGCCAACCTGTACCTGTGCCACTGAGATCTGCCCAAACACCGGTCGCTATGGCTGACGCGCTTCAGTCTGCTATTGTGTCAGCTTTGACCATAGAATGCACAGGTCCACGAGAATTTTCAAAAGTAGTAAATAGTATTTATCTTGTTATTTGGCATGGATGCATCACAATCCATTCATTGGATATCCCGTAACAATCTTTTCGATCCATGTTATTGTTGCGCCCTCTGCTCCGTGATTTTGGAAGAGGTACGTGGTTGCTTTGAGAATGAATAATCAGAGTTGTGTCTTCACTCGGCAGTTATTTTCAAAAAGAACACAAGACCTTGCTGCTCAGGCCCGTTTCACATGCTTCCGCCAGCCAACAACGATGAACTTTGTAACAGATTTTCCCGGGCGCTGTACAACGGCGACCGCTGCTCCTGACGTAAGCCTTTGTGGCATCAGAATGGCTCAAATGCAGAGGATTGAATTGCCCTATGGGGATTAATAAAAGTGCACCTTTATTTCTATTATACACATGTACAGATAGGCCTGAGGCTGATTCTGAATAACTTAATGTTAGGTTTGTAACAACAGTCGAACAGACTCTATAAGCAACAACCTGGAGACATTTGGGATAAGAGCACTCAGGTTATGCATACATCAAACAGGATATTAGTTAATAGATAATAAAAAATACACACTTGTGGAGGACACACTGTAGTTAGCAGCAAACATGATGTATTTACAGATGCTGGGTATTGTACTTCAGCAGCAGAGAATTTGACCAGGATAAACAAGAGTAATAACGGGTAAGTAGCTAGTGGATTATCAGAGCAGAGTTTTCAGATGAATGAAATAATGTATTAAGAATAATAATAGAAGATGAAGTGACTTGGCACAGTTGAATGGCTCACGTACAGGCTCAGCAGTTGTCATTGTACAGTCTGACAGCAGCAGGAAGAAGGACCACTTCTTCACACATCGAGGATGTCTATCACTGAAACTGTTCTCTAGAGCAGGGGTTCCCAAAGTTTTTAGCCCGCGACCCCCATCATAAATGCCCTGCTAACCCGCGACCCCCGCCCCCCCCCCCCCAACAGCCCTTCCGTCACATGAAATGAGCATGTATTTCCTTGATACGGAGTAACGCTTTCTAGAGACTCACGCCACTACTGAGCTGCACTGTCCAGCCCAAAAAAGGAGGCTTGCATATTTTTACTCATGTAGTGACACAGTGATGGGCTTGGTGGGCTCCCTCCTCAGCAGAAGTGGAGCGCATTTCTTGCGGCTCGCCCTCACTGTTCTCCTACCGCGGTAAAGTGGGCCGGCTTTCCGGAGTCAGCGGTAAAGAGGTCCGCACATTAAAAGCGGGCGGTCGCTTTCTGCTGTTACTTTATGCGGTTCATCCCCGCGGCTTCTCTTTCCAAAGTTACTGTCAGTAAAGGCATAAACCGGCCACCCGCTTTTAATGTGCGGACCTCTTTACCTTTGACTCCGAAAAGCCGGGCCTCTTTACCACCCTCTTCTACCGCTGCCTTCTCTCCCTCCGCTGTCCTCCCTCCCTCCTCTGCCCTCTCTCCCTCCTCTGCCCTCTCTCCCTCTCTTCGCACCATCAGCCTGACCCCTGATACAAGTGACTTTTCTCTCCCTCCGGGTTTTTCTGTTGTGGATATTAACCACGTTTCATTTTAAAGCAGGTATTACTTATTTGTAGCCTCCAAACACCTTTAGTTTTAGCAAACAACAGCAGGACACGCTTTGTCGCTGCGCATGATGTGAGCTGTGTTACGTGATGATTTTGATTGACGCTGCAATGACTGGGACAAAATTACTAACGTTATTAAAATATATTATAGTCTCCAAACACAATTTAACAAGTAGTCCTTTTGAATCAAATCAAATGCTAAATAAATATTTAAGGACTTTATATTTGCTCAAAAAAAATAAATCTTTTTTTTTTGTTTGTGTGGAAATCATCTTGCGACCCCCCCCCCCAGGGGTTCCCGCGACCCCCCGGGGGGTCGGGACCCCCACTTTGGGAACCACTGCTCTAGAGCAGACGTGTCTTGCAGGTGGTGACAGTCATGGTCCAGTATATATGTTAGCTTGTCCAGGACCCTCCTGTCCTTAAGGTTAGGGCTCAGATCTGGATTTACAAAGACAATATTCACATATAAACACCAGTATCATGGAGAACATGAAACCACTGATTTTTAAGCCCAAAATGGTGAGTGTGGTGAGAGCTAGATCAGAATCAGAATAATTTTTATTGCCATGTAAGTAACAGGAGGTCACAGACTTGGAAATTGCTTTGGCTCAGTGCAACAGTCAGAAAGAGATGATAAAAAATAAAGAATAAAGAACACTTCTAAGTAATACATTTAAGATTGAGTTACAGTTGAGTTAGATGAGATAACCAAGTGACCTTGAGCACTTTTCTATTGGATTTCATTGAGCTAGTGGGTTAGCAATGTCCATCCAAAAACAGTCTGTATGAATTACAATAAATCTGCCTTTTAAGTTGCTCATCTGGTTTGAATAATTCTTGGTCTTCAGGTGGCAGAGGTGCTGAAAATTGCTCCCATGAGAGTGTATGAGGTGGCCACGTTCTACACCATGTTCCTGCGGCAGCCGGTAGGAAAGTACTTCATCCAGATCTGCACCACCACACCGTGCATGCTCTGCAACTCCGACAGCATTCTCCAGGCCATCCAGAACAAGTTAGGTAAGGCTCAAAGATTAAATCTGTATTTTTATATTTTTATTTAGCAATATTGATTTTATTCAATTTCTTAAAATATATATGTTTGATATTATGATATTTCAAAAATGGTCAGAGACTTAGACATGCAATAAATACAGAACCATGAGGCTGAAAACATTCAGGAAATAAATCCCATACTGCACTTTTATTAATATAATTTGACCCGTCCTGAATGCCAGCAGCGCCACTCAGGAGCAGTGGTCACTGTCAATATCCAAATGTTAATCTTCCTGGTCAGGACCAGAGCTAGTGCCTATTGTACATGTTTTTAGTGGTAGGCAGCTTTAGGAAACCTATGCAGAAAGGAGAACATGCAAACACTCAGAAACAGGGCTGGGCAATATGGAGAAAAAAACAATACATTTTATCTCTATATATGATTTATAACAAAATAGTTACGAGATAAATAACCCCAAACCAGTCAATTCACGTAGGAAAAAGCTCTACTCCGAGCTCCTCCCGTGTGACTGAGCTCCTCACCCTATCTCTAAGGGAGCGCCCAGCCACTCTGCGGAGGAAGCTCATTTTGACTGCTTGTATCCGCGATCTCGTTCTTTCAGTCATTACCCACAGCTCATGACCATAGTTGAGGGAGGGAACGAAGATTGACTGTTAAATCGATAGCTTCGCCTTTCGGCTCAGCTCCCTCTTCACCACGACGGTCCGATACAGCGACCGCATCACTGCGCACGCTGCACCGATCCGCCTGTCAATCTCGCGCTCCATCCTTCCCTCACTCGTGAACAAGACCCCGAGATGCTTGAACTCCTCCACTTGAGGAAGGACCTCTCCACCCACCTGTAGAGGGCAAGGCACCTTTTTCCGGTCGAGCACCATGACCTCGGATTTGGAGGTGCTGATTTTCATCCCAGCTGCTTCACACTCGGCTGCAAACCCACCTTGAGTTTTCTTCATAACAAAAATAAAATTACTCTACTCAATATGCACATAGGAGCAGTGTAGTGCATATAGGAACAGAGCGCTTCTGCGATATTTAAGCGAAAAAATACCCTGATCACATTATAGTAACTTCTTCCAATTCAGCCGCGGGAGTTCTTGTGTCAAAAAAAATAATGTAATGCCTCGACTCGCTAATCTGTTTGTTTTGTTTTTATCTGTGTATAAAGTTAAGAGACTGTTCTCTGGTATAAAGTTACTTTGTTCAATGACGACAAAATGTGCAGTGTTCACCGCTGTATGAAACGCCTTGAGTCTGATGTTACACCACCGGCGCTTCGGTCATATTCTACACTCTGCGTGTTTTAGACAAGTTTGTTTCCTCTGAGCATGTATACAGCAGACTCTGCTCCTAGCTGAGTTATGGTGCTTTCAGACCGGATCATGCGTTGCGTCGGGTTTCAATGCAAAGTCTATGGTGACGCGCGTTCGGCCGTCGCAACGCACAGACCGCTCGGTTCGCAAGAACGGACTGTTCAGTAGACACGCACGGACTTGGCGGGAAAGTGAAAACGGAGGAGCAGGAGCGAAAAAATAGACGCCCACAGGAGATAGATTCTGCTCATCCTTTCCTTGGGACGTTCGTGCGACAACCAATCAAAGAGCAGCAAAGTGGTCACGGGGACATTAGCGGACTGAGCGAGCAGACTGAAAATACTCGTAAACAGCCAAAACAGGACCCACACCAGACTTCACCAGAACTCAAACCAGTGTTGACAATGGGGGACTCTGTGCGTGTGAATATATGCGTTGTCATGCTCCCGTGACCTTATGCAACTGCTTCGAGTGTGTTCGCCGATGCGGAAATGCCGTTTAATAATATGAAAAAACTTAGGGCGCACCTCCGTGAACACACTGTTATACCCCTTGAACCTTTCAACATTTCGCCACATTTCAGGCTTCAAACATAAAGATATAAAATTTTAATTTTTTGTCATGAATCAACAACAATTGGAACACAATCGTGAAGTGGAACGAAATTTATTGGATGATTTAAACTTTTTTCACAAATAAAAAACTGAAAAGTGGGGCGTGCAATATTATTCGGCCCCTTTACTTTCGGTGCAGCAAACTCAGTCCAGAAGTTCAGTGAGGATCTTTGAATGATCCAATGTTGTCCTAAATGACTGATGATGATAAATAGAATGCACCTGTGTGTAATCAAGTCTCCGTATAAATGCACCTGCTCTTTGATAGTCTCAGGGTTCTGTTTAAAGCGCAGAGAGAACCATGAAGACAAAGGAACACACCAGGCAGGTCCGAGATACTGTTGTGGAGAAGTTTAAAGCCAGATTTGGATACAAAAAGATTTCCCAAGCTTTAAACATCCCAAGGAGCACTGTGCAAGCAATTATATTGAAATGGAAGGAGTATCAGACCACTGCAAATCTACCAAGACCTGGCCGTCCCTCCAAACTTTCATCTCAAACAAGGAGAAGACTGATCAGAGATGCAGCCAAGAGGCCCATAACTACAGCTGCGATGGGAGAGTCTGTCCATAGGACAACAATCAGTCGTGCACTGCACAAATCTAGCCTTTATGGAAGTGGCAAGAAGAAAGCCATTTCTCAAAGATATCCATAAAAAGTCTCGTTTAAAGTTTGCCACAAGCCACCTGGGAGGCACACCAAACATGTGGAAGAAGGTGCTCTGGTCAGATGAAACCAAAATTGAACTTTTTGGCCACAATGCAAAACGATATGTTTGGCGTAAAAGCAACACAGCTCATCACCCTGAACACACCATCCCCACTGTCAAACATGGTGGTGGCAGCATCATGGTTTGGGCCTGCTTTTCTTCAGCAGGGACAGGGAAGATGGCTAAAATTGATGGGAAGATGGATGGAGCCAAATACAGGACCATTCTGGAAGAAAACCTGTTGGAGTCTGCAAAAGACCTGAGACTGGGACGGAGATTTATCTTCCAACAGGACAATGATCCAAAACATAAAGCCAAATCTACAATGGAATGGTTCACAAATAGATGTATGGCCAAGTCAAAGTCCAGACCTGAATCCAATTGAGAATCTGTGGAAAGAGCTGAAGACTGCTGTTCACAAACGCTCTCCATCCAACCGCACTGAGCTCGAGCTGTTTTGCAAGGAAGAATGGGAAAGAATTCCAGTCTCTCGATGTGCAAAACTGATAGACATACCCCAAGCGACTGGCAGCTGTAATTGCAGCAAAAGGTGGCGCTACAAAGTATTAGCGCAAGGGGGCCGAATAATATAATATAAAAAGTTTAAATTATCCAATACATTTTGTTCGACTTCACGATTGTGTCCGACTTGTTGTTTCTTGACAAAAATTTTTTTTTTTATATCTTTATGTTTTGAAGCCTGAAATTTGGCAAAAGGTTCAAGGGGCCTGAATACTTTCGCAAGGCACTGTATATAAAGCCCGTGGAATGTCTGTGAGCAAAGACACGCGGCAAAGCTGCATATTGGAGAAGATCTGTACACAAGAAGCCGCTAGCATAGCTCGGTTAGCTTCAGAGCCGGCCGGCTACTTCCGGTACTTCCGGCTCGCGTCAGGACGTTCTGGTGTGAAGACCCCTGCGTCGGAAAACTAGAGAATGCGCGTCTGGTGAGCGGGGCTTCACCGTTTCAGCGTTGGTGGTGTAAAAGCCCCATAAGCGCCGCCCCTTGAATGAGACCCACGAAAGGGGAGGGGCCGAGGGGGAGCAAAAGGAGGCGGGGGGGGAGTGCACTACAGAGAAGGCAAGCAAGCAAATCGGCAAAAAATGTATCGTCAAAGTTACTTTTGCAGTATTGACGCCTACAATAATTATTGCCCACCCCTACTAAGAAAGACCATGTTTTGACCAGGATTCGAACTCGGGACCTTCTTGCGGATAAATGAGAATCCAGACCACTCAGTCCCTGTGCTGCCCCTAAAGTTATTGGATTATTGTTACTAACGTAACTAATTATTGTAACTATTAGACTAATTTGATGGTTGATATTTTGAACTCAACAGATTGAAAAAGGCTGAGAAAAGGTTTTATGACAGCTTTAATGACTGACAATTGTCTTTAAGAGGTATTTTTGTTTCTGATGTCTGAGTGGTATCACTTTAGTTGAATATATGAACAAATCAAATTCTTTGACAATATTAAATTATTTCTAATTCTTCAACAAAATGTAGTAATCGATTATTTTTTTTAGCTTTGAAGACGTTTTTGACTCCCAACAGAGCTGTATTTACTGCAGAATAACTTGAAGATGCACAAACATGTATATGAAACAATTTTGTTATTGCTCGTCTATTAGAATCAATAGTTGCATCATTTTTTCAGCATCGTCTCTATAAAATACCAAGAGCTGCTTTTACACATTTATATTTATGAAGCACCTTTCACATCAGAAAGTCTACACAACGATGAAAAGGGGCTTCACCATTCTACATGTTTTTAGTCGTATGGCAAGGAGACTTTATTTGTTAAGCACAGTTTAGACACAAGGCAACTCAAAAAGATTAACAAGAAAAGAAACATTAAAATAACACAATAAATAAAAAATCACAGTACATTAGAGTGACGAAACAGTCCTTCAGTTGTATGCATAACTAAACAGAACTGCTTTTAACCTGAACATTGTCAGAGTAGTAGCCTGTCTCATAAATTCAAGATGACCGTTCCAGGTTTTGCTGTATAAATCTGAAACGCCTCCTCCCCATCTTGAGTAGGGGAAACTGGAGGAAAGCTACGCACACATGGGAAAAGGCAAAACATGGAACGTACACACAGAAAGGGTCCAGTCTGAAGGTGGAGTCTAACCCAGGACCTTCTTGCTGTGTTTCGTGTTACCGCTCTCTTTATGTGGTATCCTCTGAGTTTTTGGCTTCAGTAATGCAATATGTATTCATCTGCGCAGGTATCAAAGCGGGCGAGACTACAGCAGATAAGATGTTCACTCTGCTGGAGGTGGAGTGTCTGGGCGCCTGTGTCAATGCTCCTATGGTCCAGATCAATGACAACTACTACGTGAGTTCAGACTGCTTCTGTCTGTGGCATTCTCCTATTAAAGTGAAGATGGAAAGATGTTTTTAGAATACAAGTGCCTGTCTGACCCGCCACCGCAACTTGCTGATTGGGCTCAATGATTCTAAATCCCTGATGGCCCCTCCCCATTTGTCTAACTATTCTCCCCCCGCAAATCTGGTGATGCTTATTCCAAGAGGACGGAAGGGGTTAAATTAGTGCTGTCAAATGATTAAAAATATATTCGCATTAATATCATGGTAAACTCTCGATTTAATAACAAAACAGATCACAACCTGCTGTCTTCATCTCATTAGAACAAATGTAATCTCTTGCATACTTGTGAGAAAGCCCAATGCATCGAATTGTGACTCAAAAGGATCTGATCTAAAGATGTGACAGAGACCAAAAATACATCTATGTGAACTAGTGATTTAAGCAAACTCTTATGAGAACTAGTGACATGATTGGAAAGTTACGTACCCCAGCTTTAATTTGCAATGTATTGACTTTGTAAACAAATTAATCAAACTAGGGCTGTCAAACGATTAAAATTTTTAATCGAGTTAATTACAGCTTAAAAATGTATTAATCGTAATTAAACGCATTTCGAACTATTGGCAAAAGTATGCCAAATGACAACATAGTGTACATATGTACTGTATTTGTCTATTAAAACAATAAATCCACATAAAATGGTATTAACATTCTGTTTTTCTGTAGTAGACCGTATTATTTCCTCTAAAAAAGCAAAACTTGGGCCTCTTGTTCAATAACAAAAAGCAGTCTACAGTCCATAGAAACCCACTCGGCAAGGAACTATACCTGATTTATTTTATGAGTTCTTAAAAATGCGTAAACAGGAGCAGCATGGAGGCAGAAAGTGGCTATAACTCCTCTGGCTGTAACAGCATACACAGCAAAACAGCCCAAACCATGCAACAGTGAGGAAGAGAAGATGGAACTAAAGCGAAAAAATTATCAAAGAAGAAATCAAGCCCGGGAGAACATAGCTTGCTTACATCATATCCTCTGGAGAGACCCACGGGAGCGGGAGAGCCTCGGACGTGAAACTAGCGGGAATCTTTCAGTTATAGCAGTTAGTTGCTTTTGTATCATTTCGTCAGTGATTGCTGGACAGCTTCTAAGAAGTTGTGCTAATGCTAACTAATGATTGCTACCAAACTACGTGGCTCAGTGGGAGTAGAGCCTAGGGGAGAGGAGTAGGGGTTTCTTGAAATGAGAAGCCTGTCAGCTGCACTTTTGAGTGTTATTATGGGATGCATGGGTGGGTCATTCGGCACATGCGTCAATGCGTTAATTTTTTACATTCAATTAATGAAAAATATTAATTCACGCGCTTCGACGCAATAATTTTGACAGCCCTAAATCAAACGTTTTTTTATTTCAGGAAGATCTGACGCCCCAAGACATAGAGAATATTATCGATGAACTCCAAGCCGGCACCGTCCCTCCACCAGGACCACGGTACTAGCAATTTTTGATCATTTTTATACTTTTTCTTTTTTTTGTTACATTGACTCGACTTCAGCAGGGATGGACACGTGTTTATTGTCATAATGGATTTGGTTTACTAGAGTGCTTTAATCACAACAGTGCATTAAAACACTATCATGTTTTGACCATGATAGTGGCTTTGTGTTGCATCACGACATGAACACCTGCAACTTATATTCAATACATACGTGGGGGAAAATACTTTCTTATAAATTTAGCTGATGCGACATCCAAGTCCAGCAAGTACTGTACTTGGATGGGAGACCAGGTGCCAAATCATGAGACGCCTACTGAATGATTGGCAATGGTTGGCGGGGCCAATGGCAGAATTGCTTTTGTTAGTCTGCCCCATGACATCACCACCACCGTGTGTTGAGTGAGTGTATAATGCCATATAATGTGACTTTGAGAATCCAAAAATGTGCTATATAAAACAATGTCATTTTCATATGAAATATATTAATTCATGTGTAAGTAAGTAAATATTGCACGCTTGTCTTGATAATGGTTCACATCCTATGGGTGACAGTGGCTCAGTTGGTAGAGCATTGGCCTTTGAGCCTGAAGGTGGGATCGAGCCCACCATAAGACCTACTTCACAACTCCCACTGATGACTGCTGTTGTTGTGTCCTTGGGCAAGACACTTAGCCCCACTTTGCCTGAAGCCCCCACTGAAAGATCTCAGCTCCTGTGGACTCATAACCTGCAGGAGGATTCTCACTTTTATCCCACTGTCTGTTAGACTGTTAGTGGGTCTAAGAAAAAGGACTGTGGTGATGATCCAGGACATTCAACAAAATGTATGGACATCTCTCAAAACTTATGGACCAGTACTTATTTGTTCTGTTTTCTTTGTGTTTGAACTGGCTATTTCAACGGTTTTCTAAGTCCTCGGAGATAAATACTGTTGTAATTTAGGTCTATCCAAGAATAAATTTAATTGAACAACCATTAAGGTGACGTCACCTTAATTGAAAAGGCTGGCTTCTTTCCGGCCTCCCCCCACTCGCGCAGTGATGTAGCCTCACGCTAACAAGGAGGTAAACAATGCAGCGTGAAGGCTAACTGTTCAGATTTCACCTGTACGTAGTCATTCCAGACCTGAGAATAAACTTTTAAAAACAATAGCGACCCGTCACATAGAGCCCTATGTCCAGATCCGTGTGAATAAAGTCCAGCTAAGTTTGCCACCTTCTTTGTCTTTGGGCCAAATAGTGTCATCACCCAAAGAGACATTTTCTCGAAGTTGACATAATGCTAACACTTTCAGTTGCAGAAAAACGTTAGCAAAAGCTGGGAATATCTGTGCGCGCTGATTCGCTGTTTAGATTTCCTCCTCTGTGAAAAGTCAAGCATGATATGGGACAACAGGAAATTTGGAATATGTCGCGTGAACACACCCTATACAATTATTTTTCTCTTGTCTTGAGAATGGTTAAAATCAACTCAATTTATTAAATGTTTATAAATATGTTGCTTTCTCCTGGTTAAAGACCTTATGCCGGGTTTAAAAAAAAAAAAAATTGTGGATATCAAAATTGCATGACAATGTCAATCTGAAAGAGATTCCGGCAAAAAAAAATCCTATATTTTATAAAAAGAACGTGTTTTTCATTAATTTAAGTTGTCTATGCTCTAACCTGTGTGTGACGTCATAGCGGGTAACGCCCATGCATTGAAAACCATGGATCTATGCCACAGGACTGCCTTTTCTCTCTTCTCTCCACTGATGCCCAACACAATACTGCACTCTACAGGTGACAATTGCTCACTACACATAAATTGCCGTTTTGAGAGTGAAAAAGTGTCTGAGGTGGGATTTGAACCCCCCCAAACGTACGCACTCTGACGTCACCAAGGGCTGTGAAGTTTTTTCGTTTCTAAGGGCGTTGCTATGGGGTTATTTCGATTTGGGGGGATCAGACAAAAAAAACAACTGATTTTGAAACCTTTAGTAGTTCTCTAGCCCCCACTGAAAGATCAAGGCTATGCTCACACTCAGAGAGCAGCCGTCCTCCTGTGGACTCACCACCTGCAGAGGGTCAGTGAGGGGCTGGTGCTATGAGACTTGGGTGGCATCTCTGACTGCCACCCCCCTGACCCAGAAATGGATTAAAGGGTAGAAAATGGATGGATGGATGGATAGTAGTTCTCTTCTAATATAAAATGGTATTAAAACTGTATTTCTAAATAAATCAAACCCGGCATAAGGTCTTTAATGTCTTTCCATAAATTTTATCTATGCAAAAGATTATTTGAAAAAAAAAAAAAAAACCCTCTGTGTATTGTGTATTTGCAGGAGTGGGCGCTTCTCCTGTGAGCCAGCTGGAGGACTGACCTCTCTAACAGAACCTCCCAAAGGACCTGGGTTTGGTGTAAGGGCAGATTTGTAGCACTCACATGGCACCTCTTCCTCTCACAGAAATATAATGTTCGAATATTATTGTGTAAATAAAATGTTCCTGTACATATGTTTGAGAGTGTCAATCATGGTGCATTTTCTTTAGCTGAACAATCTAGACCAGGGGTGCCCGCCGAATGGTACTGTCGTCTATTTTTTGCGAATAATAATTTATGTTGTCCAGTACTTAAGTGATGGATAGGTATTCACGCCTCACTCATGGTTGACATCAACTTGCAAACTAAAAGGTTTTTGAAATTAAAAAAACGTATCAAAACAAATGGGTGGAAGTCACCTTTATGTGGTCGATTTTTATCCACCATACTGTGAATTTTGTTTGCAATTTTATGTTTTATTAATTTGAGAGAATCCCCTAGAGCCATTGCCCTTGCGACGTCATTTTTGCGGCATTAACTTGAACAAAATGGAGCATCATCAGCTGTGCCATACAGACAAGGCATTTTAACGCGTGAATCTAGTTTTGTTGACATTTGCAATTTTGTGGCTGCACTTGTTTGTTGTTCTAACTAGGGCTGTGGTTTGTTTTCATTCAGCTTATGATTTGCATTGATAATAAAATGCATTCTTTATTGTCTAACAATAATTTGAGGAACTTTATTAAATTAACATTCATTTGTTTCACTTGTAATATTGGTGTATTTGGCCACTGGCACATTTTCACTTTGGCCCTTGGAAGCAAAACGTTTGGGCACCCCTGAACTAGACAACATTTTCAGATTAATCACATCTGAGAATTTATTTTACCCACCGTTTTTCCTCTCGTTTATCATGAACTGTTAGTTCACCAAATCCTTCAAGTTGCAGCATACCATACCATACACTTTTCTAATCACCTGAACCCGCTACGGCTTAAGTGTGATTGCAGAGATAGCAAAACTAAGCAGTCTGCTGCAGCAGTCAAAAGCCGTGCATACATTGTAAAATACAGGACACCATGCTGAGGGGCAGGAGCAGGACTGAGGGCTAAAGGATTAGAAAGCAGAAACGCATCTGTAATAGTATATTTACCATGACAACCAGCACCAACCTCCAACTAATACAGTACAAAACCATTCATAGAACAAACCTAACACAAAACAGATTACATAAAATGAAACTAGCAGACACTGATATGTATACAATGCACTTCAGATAGCACAGACACTTACTTACACGCCACATGGGACTGCATACCGGTACTCTTTTTGGTTATCTGTTACAAATAAACTCTCCACCATCTTGGGCTGCAGAGTTCCTTTGAATCCATCTCAGTGACCTCTGGGAGATACGTCAAAAATAGACCTGTCATAAATATCACAACCCACTTCTCATTTCTCTGGCTGTCGCTAAGAAAGTCATTAGTTTATAGTCATCTAGTTGGAGTCACCTCGAGAGAGGAGTCTGCTCCTCTGTCCGTGAGCCCGCCTCCTCCCGCCTGCACGGTGACGTAGCATCACGCTACGAGTTGTTTATCCTCCAGTACATAGTAATTTCAGACCTGTGAAAACTTTTTCCACCAATGACAATCTGTAACATCAAGCCCTATGTCCTCAATCCACAATCGGATCATGATTATTTAGTTTACAGAAGTATACGGCGAGTTAGCATCACTGTACTTACAGATCGGGGGGTCCGTGTTAGCGTCTTTTATCGTAGGAGTAATACTGTTTTCCAGATAGGTTTTTGAATAAATCCAGTTCCATTGTCCCCGTAGTTCTTTAACAGTCATGTGAAGTGTCTCAGATGAACAGACTCATTCAAACAGAAGCAAATCCCCGTGAGTCAAGCCGCTTTCGTCCCCTTCGGGCCAAATAGTGCGTCACATATTTACACCCAAAAACATATTTTCTCCAAGTTGACATGATCCTAACACTTTTAGCCGCTGATAAAAGCAGAAAAACTTTAGCCCCATGTGGTGTCCACGGGACCAAACCACATACACTGGACTTAGAAGCTGGCTCCGCGCTGTGAGTCGCTATTTTGATTTGTCAATCACCTCCTGGATTTTAGTATTATTTTTGACATATAATGGCATACTTATTGTGTATTGTTTTCCCTGGTTTGACGATATTTAAGAACCATCCTAAATACGAAAGAAAACTGGCTTCTGCGCGTCATATTCCTCATAAATGTGGTAATCGTCAGAGATGTGGACCCGAGCGTTTAACTGTCTCTTGAGGGTGAAGGAGAAAGATTGACAGAATCAATGAAAAAACTACTCTGGGCATGTGTACGAAGGCCAAATAGCACACTAGTCATGTAGAGAAAAGTCAGAAAGCATAATATGGAGCCTTTAAGGATTGACCAATCAGATAACTTAATTCGTGGGGGAATTCTGCCAATGCTGTCAGAACAAATGCCTATATATGGAACTTGGCTCCCGCCAGCTTATTTTCAAATGGCTTCTTCCACATCAAGGCTCACACTTTGGTGACGACGTATTAGGAGTGGACGTCAGTATACTATTCATTTCTGCTCTTCTTACACACCGAAATGTTGCTCTGACTACGACATTATGATTAAATATTTTTAAGACATTTCAATGTAAAGTTATATTTTAGGCACTATATTTATATACTGTATTACTCTACAGTTGTATATAATTTATCCAGTTAATGATGGAATCGTAATTGCAGCCCTAATATCAGTTCAGTAAGTCAGCATACACACACACTTAAAAACACAAATGCACACACAGCATAAATGTAATTCATAAACAGTTAAATTGTACAGAATCTACATTATTTTTTTGCAGAGACCATAATTGCACACACCTCTTTGATCACTATGAAATTGGCCAAAGCCCATTGATAATTACAATTTTCTTAATCTCAATGTTGCAGATACATTACTTTACTCTTTACCGCTTTTGTTTACACTTTTGAGTTCAATGTTTTTGTCACAATGATGAAAAACGGAAAATCCGGATCTGACCAACTCCTGTTTCCAAGGCAACAAGCGTTAATGTAAAGGCGGCATCAAAGGGGAGCAAGTCTTATGGCTATCATTGATTCATGTGGACTACAAATCATGAGAATTACACCAGGTTGTGTCGGCTCCCACTATCATTTTAGTTTTATGCTTTAGCTAAAGGGTTTAAACTATTACATGTTTAAGAGTTTGTACTGTTCTGAAATGTGCACGTGACAAACACTGACATTCCTCTTCTCTAAATGTTCTTGTGTTTAAAAAAATGATCAGAAAACGCTTCCAAAATACAATTCAAATAAATTTAATATTAGTTTTTATAATACATTTTATTTATTTTGAATAAATTATAATATTTACTTATCACATAAATTCAATACTTTAAATTAAACAAATACATTTTACAGAGATTGTTTGACAAAAAATATAAAGGCTTATCAAAAAATGCAAAATGAATAAACAGAACCTTTATTTGTCCACAGTGGAGAAATTCTGGTATTGCACGCACATACAGGAAAGTAAGAACACACGAGAGCACAGCATAGAAAGATAAAACTAGCCGTAAATGCGTCTCAAATTTGGCTTGAATTTATACTTTGCATGCATGCCTTTTATAGTATGTTTTCCTAATTCAGGAATGTGGTATTCATTGTGCAATAATAGTTTGTGAAATTCCTGTTCACTGATAATAGCAATACAACATAGAGATTCTGGGCAAGTTTGTAAGTGCCTAACAAAACAAGATAGAAACAAACAAAACAAAATCATACAAGGCATTCAAATCATAAATAATCACAGTACATGAAAAGGACTAAAAATAATGCAAAATAAAATGTCAAACCAATTCTGTTTAGTAGTGCATACAACTCCTCATTTTAGCTGCATACACCTTAAATCTTGCCTCCCCATGTTAAGTCCCGACTCAGTCATTTTATATATACATATTTTTTAATGAGTCAACAAAACACAACCCACAACAACGGCATTGTCAGACCCATGAATGTATGTTTCAAAGTTATGTGTGGAGAGTGGAACAAAATAAATAAAGCAGTGCGTGGTCCTGTCATTTGCAATTGTGTCATCTTGCTGCCCCTCCCCCACTCCATTGCACCAGCACACATGCGCACAAGCAGCAACAGCATGATGCAAATGCCACTGCGCAACCCAACCAAAGCCATAAACGGGGGCGAGTGAAAATGCGTTCCGGCAAATGCACGGTCAATTAAAACTCTAGGAAATATGCACATGGCTCACATAAATATAGCTATCTCAAATTCCAACGTGTACTATTAATATAATAATCTAGAAACTTCCACCCTAGACCGCAACAGCAGCGCAAAGGGTGACGTCAAGCGCACATTACTTCTGCACTTGGCTTTTCAGCCATAAATATAATACCATAAAGTCCATTAGCAGATGTATGGACCTTACCAGCTGACGGAATACGCCGCCATACGCCAAATGCAACGGATTCTAAGCGCTTTGCATCTAGGACAAATCTAGACTCGTCGCCATGCACAGTCCGCACTGTGGCGGTGTTATAGATTGCTAGAGAGAGCATTGTGATGGAAACTCGGGCAGTAGCAGCAGCCAAGTGTAGTTTACTCTGAAGAATACCTATGTGCATCCACTTTTGGTAAATTGTTTTCTTTTATAATTGTAGGTGTAATATATTAATTTTGTTGCAGATCCGGCCCTGTGTGTCATTTTTTATGGCCCTCTGCCACTCCCCTAAAGTTCCATTGATGCACTTTTACTGTGTCATCCAGCCTACTTCAGCTCTACCAATATAGTATAAATGTCATCTCTTATTGTCAAATTCAGAACCTCTAATCCAGCTGTTTACTTTATTTATTAGAGATCTTTGCGCTAATGTAGCGGAAACTTTAGTTCTGTCAAATATGAAACATTGTGGACATTTTAAAACCTAGAACAGCCCGAATCCAATCAAACAGTTTTAAATTCTGGGTTTGTTGCCCCCTGGACAAGTCTAGTTTACTATAATGGTCTTTAGTCTAAAAACACATAAGTTTAAAACATTTAAGATCTTTTCTAGATCTGCAT